GAGGGGTGCGCTTATCTTATGGATGCTTAAACTTTTATCATATGGGTGTAAATATGGTGAAAAATTATCTATGAATACGAACACAACCACAATTCTCTATATAGATCCGCCCATGCATATGGCACGTCAGCGCGGTGGGTGTCGACTCATGGACACGGAGAATAAAAAGAACGCCACTTCAACGCGACCCTGCCGTTCTGTTGGACAAGGGCCAATATTGTTTTCATTAGCAGCTACTACCGTAGACACGTGTTCGAATGCTCAGAAAAGACATTGGCAATGGTGTCAGATGCTTAAGCATATGAATTGTACTTGTATAGCTGTAGACATCATTGTTGTAAGATCCCATTTAGACCTTGTTTGATTAATCCCATATCCAACAATGGATTAGAGAGCATCAAGGGATACCGAGAGGAATTAATTTGTAGGGGGACTTAACCTCCTTCAATCCGCTTCGATCCTATTAAACAAAACACACTTTTAAAAAGGTTTATTCTCTTAAAATATCTCTAATTAGTTTTTAGAGAATCTTATTTTTATTATGCACCAGTAGGAAGTTGTTTCTTCGCGGAGCCTTAGTAGAGTATGATTAAAAAACTCTCATAGGTCTGTGATAACCTTGTACACAGATAGTTTACAAAACCTAACATCAACATTCTTTATCTGGCTCCTAAATTCTTACTATTGACATGCAAGACAAGAAATGCATGGAGGGACAACTAATCCCGGTAGGCATGACTTGTTGGCCAACTTCATGGCGGCTTTCATTTTCCATTGACCCTTTGCAAATCCATGCGAAAAGGCATAATTGACCACATATTCAAAGATCCTTATGACTCCAGAATAACAAAAACTCCTAACTCCAAATTGCTTAGCTGCAAATGAGGCGATGATGGATGACCATTGTTATCCGGTGCGACACCTAATTTACTATTGGTGCGTCGCTTAACAACGCTCACTATGAAAAATTGAACGAGATGAGGAAAATTACATCTTCTAGCCTAATCTTGGTGAAAACACTGTAGTACTTTTGTCAAAACACTTTGTCAAATTACATCTTCTATTTTTTGAGGTGTTTGCTCTGTAAACTGCCCTTTTCTTGAGATTTTATATAAATTACATTTCTATTTTTGGGTTTTTGCAAGTAAATTTATTTTATATAATTGTTGCTTTGTTATTGATTGTTGTTGTATTGCTAGATTCTAAACCGTTCTTATTCAACCGATGTAGGAAAAGCATGCTAATTTATTTAGTCGTTACTTTAAAAATACTATATAGAATACCCATAAAGAACAGAAAAAGCTCGGATATGAATTTTAAATAAACTCTCCATAACAAAGGAAGAAAGAAACCAAAGACATATTAGTAAGTAAGATGCATACGAGCAGTATACTAATATTATTATTATGTCACCAAACACGGTGGTTCCTAAGATGACACATGAAGAATTTCAATCAAAGTATTGCATAATAAAGAGAAAAAAAAGAAGAGAAAACAACACAAATAATTACATATTATGTATTGCACCCTTATTTAAATGCTGATTTTTTTTTCTTTTTGCATAAGTTTTTGTTCAAACTCAAATTATAAATGTACATAGATGATTGCATTGTACGGAGTATATCATTGTAACCATTCATATCTTGGTCTGAATTTCCATGCATCCGGTTTAGGTGCAGCTTTTTTTTCCCAGGTTAGCGTAAAGCCGTAAACCATGGCTTGACAAAAAAAGGACGAAAATGCCAAAGGGCACGAAGCACAGCTCTGTACCTCACCTTGAGAGTTGAGAGGGTAAACTGGTAACTTGACAGAGAAAGCGAGGGTTTCTTCGGAGGCTTTATCGTTTATTATCCACGGAACAGTTCCTGCGCCGGCGGCGACCAATTGTGTGCTCGGGGAGGCGATCGATCTCTCACCATGTCCTCGGAGAAGGAGGCGGCGCTCGCCACCGTGCCCAACGACAGCCCAACCATGTAAGCACCCTGCCCTTATCCCCGCTCCTTCTGTTGCAAGACCCACTGATTTGTAGTAGACACCTTAGCAGTACAGTTCGGTGGTAACCGCTCCATCTAACATTTGGAACCTGAGACTTGGGAGATTGTTGATCTGGTAATCCCCAACGTCAGATCGGGATTTGGTTCCCCAGTCTTTAGTAACTCGGGGGGCCTCCGCGTAAGCGGGGATTGCTTAGGTTAGGTCTAGATCCTACTTTATAATCCTGCTTTATAGTGGATATAATAATGGATTATGATAGATTATGCTTCGAAGCATTTGAGACCAGTAGTTTCTCTATGGGAAATTTGGGCTGCTGAATTGGTCAGCTCATACTAACTAATGCAATGCACAAAGAAACCGTCTGAGCTTAATGAATACTGAGATATGGTGCTTGTAATCATTGAGATAAGTTGTTTGGCAATAGCAAGTTTGGGGTTGAAAATGACAAAAAAAAGTTCAAGTACCTGCATTGTGCACATTGCATAGGAAAGACTTCGGGCAAGTGTATTAGTTCCTGATGTTTGTTGCATCTGCAGATTTGACAAGATCATCAAAAAGGAAATACCTTCTACTGTGGTTTATGAGGACGAGAAGGTATCGTGTAGTGTTTTCCTCTATATTCAATTAGGTTGAAAAAAACATTTTATTAGATGATCCGTTGGTTGCTTTGCCTGCAGTTATTCCATTATGTGCTTTATGTTTAGGACATGGTACTATGAAAATTAATTTCCTGATAAGTGACAACTGATAAGCATGTGAAATTGTGATGCGGGAAATTGTGAGAGGGTTGTTCTCAATAAGTGGTCAAATGCTGTTGGTGCCCATATGTTGAATTGATATGCTGGAAAAATGTTAGTACCTATGTGTTATGTGTATGCCAAGTAACCCCTTAAAACTTGTTTCAGGTTGCAGTAAGAATATTCTATTATTAGGTGGACTATGTGATGATGTGCGCATCTTTAGATAATTATGATTATTACATTTTGTTAGTGAAACAGAAAACTGGGCGACTGACTGAGCCTTGCTGCTTAGAACTTATAAGGCTCAATGTCTCATTGTCTTGTTTAGTATTTAAGCTGCTTCCGAAATTGGTGAACTTTTACCATTTCAAAGTATAAAGCATATTATGTAAACGAAAACTGTAATTATCAGATCTGCATATTCTTTTTAAGCTTTATCACTTCTATACAAAATTAGTTTATTTAAATGAGAACAAGGAACCTGGTCTTTTACCAAGTAGCTGTTCTTGTCAATTATCTTGTTACAGGAGTATAGGGATCTGAGTTTCTATGTTATCAATGGCTACTGTGCAATAGATTTCTAAATTGCAAGGTTCTGAGTGAACTGGGTGCTTGGTTGAATTCTGCTGTTTACTGCTGTGTGAATGGCTAAACCTTCAGCCCAATATGTGGTTCTTCTTCTGCTACAGATTATGAGTATTCGTAATCTATGAAGTGCATCAATCAGATGTTTTGGTTCCAGGTACTGGCTTTCAGGGACATAAACCCTCAAGCTCCAACGCACATCCTCATCATCCCCAAAGTCAAGGATGGACTAACTGGCCTGTCAAAGGTAGAGTTTACTGCTCATCAGTTACACTGTACTGTATAATTGTCTAAAATCTGTAATCCTCAAAAGCCAAAAGAAATACATTTCATCTTGGCCTATTTTCCCACTTCATAGGCTGAAGAGAGGCACGTAGAGATACTTGGCTACCTCCTCTATGTTGCCAAGGTTGTTGCAAAGCAGGAAGGACTTGAAGATGGCTATCGCGTTGTCATCAACGACGGCCCAAGTGGATGTACGTGCAACTGACTGAATGCCTGTAAACCACTCTCTGGTCCTTGTTTGGCAACTTCTGTTCCGTACTAACCACCTGTGGGTTTCTTCGGTTGCAGGTCAATCTGTTTACCACATCCACGTTCATCTCCTCGGAGGCAGGCAAATGAACTGGCCTCCGGGCTAATAATATCTTGTGATTGACCAGTCTTCATGGCAAGGATTGCTTCTCCATATCTCTAGAATAATTCCTGTAATTTCCATAAAAGCTAGTGCGCTGACCTTGTGCTATATTTGTGGAATTACCGGAAGCATCCTGCTGTGATTTATGAACACAAGAAACTTGTACTTGGTATCGTGGATTGACTCAGCTGGTGGAGGTTGTCCACTGTCCTTGTTGATCTGCTCAATCTTCTCGCCTGTCAACATTTTTATCTTCTAACGAATAGCTTCGCTACCTACATTGGCTTTCATTATATATGGTACCTGCATTGGCTTTCTTCTTTCTAAGGTTATCGAAATCGCAAAGTCTAAATAGCATAGATCGGAATCTTAGGATATTTGTAGATTCTATTGACTAAAATCGGAGATCAAACCTCTCGTGATAATACCCGATCGTAAATGTACGGCACAATTGGGATTTTGACAACCATGCTTAGCACGTGTGATGCGTGTTGAACACTTGAGCATTCTGGCCATGGTGGCACCGAATGAATCTGTGTCAACTGTCTGGAATTATTTCAACACTTGAGCATTCTGGCCATGGTGGCACCGAATGAATCTGTGTCAGCTGTCTGGAATTATCTAGTGTGATAAAAGAAGTTCCTTGTCTACTGGGCCGGGCCACAAAACAAAAGCTGGATAGGATTGAGACCTGGCCGTTATGGCGTCCGCAACGGCAATTTGCAAATAATTAGTCAGATAAAGTATAGAAATAATAAAAAATAAATATTCTAGTGGAGAGTTACGTGAGTTATGAAAGAAATGTTTTTAGCGTACTAAACTAGCTATTTAAAATCCCTAGCTATTTTATCTCTCTTTCGTAGCCGATGAATTTTTTCGTAGACTAGCTACGCGAAGATATTTTACGGTTTTGTGAGGGCTTCCGGAGTTGGATTGTCGCGAGATGCCAGGACGGCCACGGCCAGTCACAGCCTTGCCTCGCTCGCTTTTCGTCCTGAATCCTGATTAGCTTGAAACCGCAGTCCTGATAGCTTGAAACCGCCATGGCCATGGGGCTCCCCGGCCTCCGCTGCTGCCGCCTCCCCGCTCGCGGGTCGCTCCCTCCACTCGGTCCCGCCCTCGCTCGCAGGCCCCTCCCGCGGACCTCGGCTCTCCGATACTCCTCCCTCCAAGCCCAAGGTATTTTCACCCACCTTTTGCTTCATAATCTCATCCGTTTTGGATGTGCTCCTACCTCTCCGTCGCCGGAGGTGTCGAATGCTAGGGCAACCAGCACACATCAGCACACCATCGCCACATCCACAGTCGGTGGCGGCGCTCCGAGCACGCTCGACGGCGGCTCGCCCTCACTGCGCCGGCGCACCGGACCCCCCTCTGGTCCATCTTTCAACTTCCGTGCTTCCATCCGACCCCTCCGAGCTCCGGCTCCATCTCCGGCCCTCCGCCCCAAGCCCCCAACGCTCTCCTGCAGGTTCGCTGCGCGTTCCCAGCAGGCGCTGTGCAGCGGCAGCCGGCCAGCTGCGGCTCCTCACCGGCCACCGATAGCGCCCGCGGCGCAGCGGCAGTATTTGCGTTCCTCTTTTGCTGCTCAGCAGCAGGCAGCAGCAAAAACTACTCGAGCTCGGTTGTTCTTTTAGGGTCAACAGCAGTAACAGTTGCAGTTGCGCAGCTCCGCAGATAGTGGTTTTCATCAGCTTGAGGGTTAAGGTAGCAGTTTTCATCAGCTCAAGGGTCAAGTGGTAGTATACTGCTCTGTTTTTGGTTGGTACAGTACAATTTAGTTTTGTTTACCGGTACAGTGTAGCTTGACTAGCAGGTTGGGATATTTTAATGTCATTGCCTAATGTGGTAACTTGCCTTTGTCGACCTTGTGCATGCTAGAGCTTTGGCCAGCTCCTTCCTTTTGTCGCTCTCATTCTGCCTAACCTGTCGTCATAAGACATAAAAGCAGTAGAGGATAGCAGTAGCAGTTCGTGTACTCTGATTTTCATGTTGTTGTTTATTGCCAAAATTTTGTAGTCTAATTTTGCCCTACCTCCTTTCTGGCTTTCTCGGGCTGGGTCCGCCACTGGCTGGAGTATCGAATGCCGAGCGCTTAGACAATCAGTAGAACTTTCGTATAGTTTTTTGCTGCTAACAGCTGGGTTGGTATAGATTATTTAACCTGCTGCTTTCGTCACAGCTGGGGACAGTATTGGGAGGAGGTCCTAGTAGCATGTTCCTTGAGGAGTCCCGGTATTTTTGGCAGCTGCATGCCTAACGCTCTGCGCAATCGCCATGATTTCGATTGGACCTTACTCCCGGTCACCAAGATCTCACCAACCCGACATGGTCTGGAGGAGAAATGGCGCCATGGATTAGTTGATGCGAATGAGGCGGGTTCGAATCTCACGGGGACTTGAGCACGGGCCAAGGGAGTGCTGTAGATGTTGCCCAGCCTGAAGACGTGAGTTCTGTCAATCATGATGTCTGTGTTTTCTTTTTTCTCGATCACGCAAAAGGTTTGCGCGTCTTTATATTAAGATAGAGAAAAAAGTTTAATACAACACGCCTTAACGGTGCCCTAGGGGGTCAAAAGAGAAGTACATGTCTGTGTTTTCGACTTTAATAACAGAGATTAACCGATCCAATTGGGATATAGGTGCGGGAAGATGCTGTGGATGAGGGAATGTTGAGATTAGCAGCAACCAGAGATTGGGTGTCCGGTGACAGCAGCTCTCCTTTGAGCAAGAGGCTGTCTGCTAAGGTGTGACATCCTTGCTGTTCATTGTTTAGGATTGTGAGTATGCTATTGCAATAATAGCTGATGGATTTCATAAAAAAAAACAATAGCTGATGGAGAATTGGGAATGATTGCAAATGATGACAGGATAGGCAGAATGAGAGCGACAAAAGGAAGGAGCTGAATCTTTTGAAATATGAAGCAGTATGATTCCTTTCCAGTGTTCTATTTTTCATTTTCTATGTATTGCTTAAAAGAGTAATTACATGTTCATCTATTGATACCTTGCAGCTCAAGGATGAATTGCTGCTCTTGACCACAGGAATTGGAGCAGCATGTAGTTTATACTGTCTCCTGGTTTTCTCTCTCGAGGTACATCCTCATATCAAAAGAAAGAAACAAGTAAACTAACTCTATATCATAATTAAACGTTTCTGTGTCTGATTTAGAACTCTTGAAGCCAACTGATGTTTACCCCCAAAACAGCAGCTCGGTTCTATGGATAATAAAATGCATTACCTAATATGTTTCTGCATAACTGTCTGAACTGGGTTGTATGGGCAAATTGCCCATAGTTTGTCATTTATGCATTCTGGACCTTGCACCATATTTGTGTTAGTTTTTGAATCATGGACTCGAGCCAATATAAGGGGATGCACCAAACATACAATTTGATGTGTGTAATTTTTTTTCTTGTATGAAGTGCTCTTTCTTGAATGATTTATTAATGGTCTCATCATTAATTGGACATCCAGACACCTAGCTAAGACTATCAGCTCTGCCTTTACTTTGAAATGATTCGATGTTAATGAACATAAAACAATTTTTAAGTGTGCCTACATGTGAGTAACTACTGTGACTAAATCATTAATCTTCTTATTGAACAGACTGCTGTCAGTTATGCTTTTGGGGTTGGTTTCAGGTAAGCAAGCCCTTCGCAGCTTAGGAGATTTTTACTCATGATGTCTGCTGAAGTTTTAACAAGTGCTTCAAGTATTCTGAAACTTGTTGCTCTTATGCTGAACAGTTGCTTGTATCTTCAACTTCTGTATCGACATGCCGATAATCTATCAAAGGAAGATATTCCAGAGGTTTTTCTTAGGAAGAAAGTGAAGAAGTAGGTTTCAACATTCCACCTGCAGTCTGTATCCCATTATTCGGTTCCTCGCATTCTGATTGTTTAAATAATTATGCCTATTTATGGGAATGCTAGAATTGGCATTACAAGTGAAGATTTGAAGAATACAATAGAGAAGACATTAGGTGGTGCAGGAGTAGCTCTTTCATCCCCAAGGCTTGTGATTCCTGCCGTGATTTTTGGATTGTCAGCTTTATCAGATCACTTCCAAAATAGCTTTTTCAGTTTTGAGGTGAGAGCACCACTCTGCTACTGTACTAGATCTCATTTAATTGGCAGATTGCCAGATATACCCTCCAGAATATATTCTTCCGCAAACATTTCTTGAAAGACTAGCTCTCTTTATGCAGGTTCTTCCAGGGATGATGGGTTTCCTTGCATACAAGGCTGCAGCTTTGGTCCAAGTCTACAGAGATAACGAGGACCTCCGCGTGATACTCCCTGAGGAAGAGGACGCTGACAGTGACAGCACTTGATGTATACCAATTAGAGATTATGTTAACCCAGTTGTTGATAAATACAGAACAGACCAGTTTACAGAGTCATGCTTCAGTTTTGAATGAAATTTCTCTTTAGGATATCCTGAAATTCGTTTGCTTAGTCTACCCTTTTGGAGGGGGGAAAAAAGGAAGAGTTGAATAAAAAAATATTAGTAGAGACAGCTGAAAGATAGATGGAACCCTCATTGTTTTGCCCTTGGGAAACCATACAGCACGTTGCAAGTTCAGTTGGAAGCAAGATTGCCGCAACAACAGCATGGTAGGAGTACAATGGGAGTACAATGGTTTGCAACAGTAGCCAATCCATTCTGCAAGTTGGAGACTGCATAGAAGAGTTCTTACAAACTAGATGAGTATTCCCAACAGGCCGAAGGGCAGTTACAACTTGGAACAGCCTAGTGCCAGGACAGCTCACTACTACTATTAGCATGATTAGAAGTTGGCCGAGTTAGCCCGCCGGAGCTGATTCTTCAGCTCCTGTCGCGGCACATACTGCACTACCGGCTCCGGTGCCTGCAGCAAGAACAAAACAGTTGCCGTATCAGTTTACAGTTCCAATGGACATATACATATATACATTAATACATATATGGGACATCGAAGTATGGGACGAAGTCCAGATCTCAAAAGAGCAAATGTCTATGTGAGCTCATCGTTCCCTGAGAAGTAAAAAAGAATACAGTTCTTCAGCACGTAAAGGCATGCAGTTTCGAATTTTCGATCGTGCTGCATGTGTATAAAGAATGTCTTCAGTGTACCGCCTTGCGAGAAAGAAATCGCTCAAGTTGGTTCTGTGAAGCACGGTGCTCCTGAAACACACCAGTCAATTGGCAGCAGCTGTGAGAGAAGTTAGCACCTAGGCCGGCCGCACCCGTTCTGGAGCATTGCTATGCCAGTATACCAACATAGAGCCAACATAGTAGAGGTTTATCAGTTCATGAATGCCTGTTTGGTCTGGTCATCTTGTGATTTTTCTGGACAATTATGTCAGGGTGTCCCACCCCCAAAGTGCAGGGTAGGATACAGATCTCACCTTTCGGAGAGATTGCCACTTGCAGGGATATACATACTGTCTTCAGATTGCATGACACAGGGCATAGAAAGGAGCACAAGACGACTATGAAAACCGGCAAAGAAAAGCGTCGAAACGCAGTTCAAGATAGATGTGAAGATGGTATTATGTACTGGTACTAGCGGTAATATTTTCACATCAAGCTGAATCCAGTCCAATGGGCAAAAAGTAGTGTATTGCTGACGGGGAGTACAAACTAAAACTAGTGATGTCTCGTGTCTGTCCAATGAGCAGACATCAGGCATTGGCAGTTGCATAATAAAATTGTTCTATAACAGGAAGTGGGACAGGAACGGATGATCGTCCACGACCACGATGTCACTGGCAGTGATGTCAGTCCAATGCGCACTTGCTCCACAACGCATTGGTTGGCTTGGCTGCTGCATACATAAGAAACACTGGGCGATGGCCGAAAGATGGATAGGAATGGTCGACCATCCAACGCTGACATTTCACATTTGCAGATGGCCAAGCGAATGCTCATTTTAGAATATCTATGGTTCACTTTCGCTCTCTTTTTTTCCCCTTCTCAAAACTGGATGGAAAAGGAGTTTTTAAGGAGAGGAGAGGAGAGAATTTCCCGTACGAGAAGATCTGAAGATGCGCAGAAAAGGCTCGCCTGGGACGGGCTGATTGGACACAAATTTGTGGTCCAGGGCGGCCATCAATCAGGATTCGTGGGACGTCATGTACTGAAACCGCTCACAGCAGCAGAGAGCCAATCACGCGTGGACAGCGGCAAAACGGGCAGTACTTGGCACGTCGCAACACGAAGACCCCCTGCGCCGCTGCGCGCCGGCTCCAAAGGAGAAAGTGTAACGCGAAGCAGTTACGGTTACGCGACCAACCCGGCAGGGGAGGACGAGGGGCCTCTCGGGTCCCGACGAGCTTGTCGGGGCCAACCGGCGGCCGCCAGGAGGCATGGACGGCTGGCTGTAGAAATGTGGTAGAGCGCAGAGTCGCCGAGGGCGACGAGGTGGCATGGATCATGGATGGATGTTCTATGGCTATATTGAGTACTAGTGTATAGCAGCAACTCGCATCCTGTAATTATGTAGATGTGAAAAAATAATATCCGAATAAGAAGATCGTGGTAATCCCGGTGCAATCTACCTCGGATCTTGCGTGTTTCTACCCCCAATACTCCTTGGTACTGCTATCGTCGGCGATCTCAATCTTGCTCCGCGTTTCCAGGTGGAAAGTGAGAATGTCGTCTGCACACCGAGCACCAATTCACGATATCTGGTTCAGCTCGTACACAGGCAAGTCCTTCACTACACTAAGCGCAGTTTCAGAGTTCGTGACCACGTACTGCACTAGCCCCCTCTAGCCTTTCGGCCTGTTGGCTGATTGATTTCTAGGCTGATAAGTTCGGTTAGTGTTGGTTTATTTTGCGAGAAAAATACTATTGACTGGCTGATAAACCCTGACTGAAATCAACAAGCGAACAGACTGTTTGTCTTTGCCTAGCAGCAATAGCTCCAAAGGAGAAAGTGTAACGCGAAGCAGTACGGTTACCTGCAGGCATGTTCGGCTGGTATTAAAGCCGGTTGAAACTGTTTTGTTGTGAGAGAAAAATACTGCAGATTCCAGCTGATAAGCCGGTTGATAAGTTCAAGCGAACATGCCCGAATGGTTTGATGCCAAGCAAGAGAAACAAAAGGGTTTTCTTGTCGTGTATTACACATTTCTTAGCAGCCGTCATTTCTCAGCGCAACAGCAAGGGGAACACACAAGGTGGCGTTACATGCTGATGCTATTTATTTGGATGAACTTGAGACAAATGTGAAACCAAATGGATATGGATCAAAGCGTGTCACCACGAGTCCACGATAATACCAGCTTAACCCTAATACACACGGATGGCGGATTTTGGTGAGTCATTGTCTCATGGAGCACTAGGTTTATAATCTAGGATTCGTGCTTGCGCGCTCTAGTTATATACTCTATAAACCAAGAAGGCAAGAATTGACCATGTCCACTTGGAGTGCTACCACAAGTTGTTCCTACGAGCTCTTCAACTGCAAATTTCGACCTAGAAGCACGCAATGGTACTGAAGCCATATTCGTCTCAAAAATTTTTGTAGTGGATTCGATTGGGGCTGCATGGTTTGATTTGTGCATCGGTGCCATACCTTGTGCCTCCGGAGCCGCTCGTTCTCCTCCTCCAGCTGCGAGATCTTGTTCTCCAGCTCGTTCGTGTACGCCTGCGTTTCATCAATGAATCCAAACACCACAAGTTTATAAGTACGCGCCCATTTCATTTCATCTAATATTCTAATGCAGTGGGGGGATTGGGGTTGGCACGCCACCTGCTTCCGCGCGCGCGACCTCGCCGCCGACTCCCGGTTCTTGATCATCCGCTTCTTGCGCCGCTCGTTGCACCTCTCCGCCACGCCGCCCTCGCCGGCGGCACGCTTCGCCCCGGCGCCGCCCTCCTGGCCGTCGTGGTACAGGGCGTCCAGGACCGGCCCTGAGCCCGCGCCGAGCGGCCGCGGCACGGGACGCCCGACGACGGCGGGGCGGTGGCGGCCCAGCTCCAGTTGCGCAGCCGGGGCCGGGGCCGGCTGGTACAGCTGCTGCGCCCAGCCGCAGGCGCCGGAGCCCGTGTCCGTATCCGCGGCGGCGTCAGCGGGCGGGCCGCCGCCGCGGGACAGGAAGTCCTCCAGCGTCATCTGGGCCCGCGGGCAGGCCGCCGCGGCGCCCTGGATGTCCCGCCACACCTCGTCCGCCGTCTTCCTGCCCGAGCGGAGGAGGTCGTCCAGGTTGTCGCCGTGAAGCTGGCCCTCCACCTCGCTGAACGTGAGGCTGCACACCGAGCCCTGCCACGACAGGGCCCCGCCGCCGCCACCGACCCTGCTGCCGTGGGACGACATTGCCTCGGCTCCCATTCACCGACTACCTACTCCTGCATGCGATCATCACACGGGCGCGCGATCAGCACGCGCTTGTCATCGCGACAAAGATGGAAGCAAGAACAGAGGGCGATGGTAGGAATCCTAGACGACGGCGCATGGCAAGAACCTGGGAGGGAGGCGCGCAGGCATATATACAAACAAATCGCAGAGGGAGGGATGCCACCGGCCAGGACTGGAGCAGGAGAAGCGGGAGGCGGGCGTGGGCGTGGCTGCTGATGGCTACCTAGCTGGCTTGCTGCTGCCGCTTGCTCCTTTCCCTAGTTGGAGAGGGAGGTGAAGAAGCAGAGGGGAGGCAAGAATTTAGGATTCCACAAAGAGTGAGGTGGGGCATGGGCCAATGGGGGCAGACAGGCGATGCCTGGGAAGAAGAATCCAAAAAGGGTGAGGTGGTGGTGGTGCGTGTGACGGTGTGAGGAGCTGAGCTGAGACTCGGAGAGCGAGGGGGAGTGAGGAAAGCTGAAAGCTGGAGAGAGAGAGAGAGAGAGAGAGAGAGGAAATAAGAGGTGAAAACTGAAAGGGTACTGAAAAGAGGGGCTGCTTTTCAGCAGGGCGAGGCCAAGGTTCGTGGCTTTCCACTGCCAGCGCTTTGCTCAGCTCAATTTCATTCGAGGTGCGTGGTGCAGCGTGGAGTGCGTGTGTGCAGCGTGGAGTACCGCAGAACAGTGACCAGTCACTGTGCGGGGCCCACTTGACCAGTCCCTTCGTTTGCATGTACGGACACGAATCTTCAGCCTGTTCGGGAGGCCGTATCGTATCGTGGATTATTTACTGCTGGCTGGTTTGGTGTGAGAGAAAAACACTGTTCCCGGCTGAAAATTTACGATCGTTTACGAGCAAGCGAACAGGCTGCTTGTTGTAGGGAGGGAGCAGGGAGGAAAGGAGGGAAACATATGCTTGCGAATTGCGAGAGATTCGACTCCAACCAGAGGCTCATGTGTGATGATTCTTTAACAAGCTCCTGATTCGCTGGCTTATAGAAGAATCGC